GTTTGCTGAGATTAGTGAGCAATGGGAGAACCCCATTTCTGTTTAACTCTTATAACCCTTTTGGTTGCTTGTAGCATTCAATTTCAAGCTCATGCCGCTCCTTCTGGTACCAGTTAATTTCATCCTTTTAGCTCTCTCTACTTTTTGGGGTAATTTTGGATTCTTTTGATCTGTTTGGTTAATGGGTATGCTCAAGTTCTTGGTTTACTTGCTTGCTTTGTTAGTTTGCTTGTTCTTTCCCTTTGGTAAATATTCTGTCCCTTGGGGTATGTTAATTTATTCTGCTTTCAGTTTGAGGCTGTATTTCTATATATTGTATAAATTTTTTGTTCATGATGCTTAACCCAATATTAAGCCTCTTTTCTTTAATTGGAGTTCGTTATAATATGATTCTTCTGATCTAATTCCTTGATGGATATGGGTTTTTCTACATCCCTACCACTTTGGTGATATGGGTTCTAACGCCTATTGTTTATGGTATGATCACACAGGGCCATTGGTAAAACACTTGTCTTCTTTACTCAAATGGACCAGATCATCCTCTAAAGTTCCCCATTCAGGTCATTTGATATATTGGTTTTTGTTATTGGATTTTCCTGTTATACTTAAATGTATTTTATTATGTTTATTTTTTATTCTTGTTGTTTGTAGATGGGAATGCTCTTCAATATGAGAGTGGATACTTGGTTGAGACTGTTGTTGAAGGCAATGAGATTGGAGTGGTTCCTTACAGAATCCACGTCTCTGAGGATGGTGAACTATTTGCTGTTGATGCAGATAAAAGCAACATTGTTAAGATTACTCCACCATTGTCACAATGTATGTCTTTAGTTCTCGTGGGTTGGAGATTTTGCATACATAAAATCCAAGAGAACAACTTCCTTTATCATCTTTCTTTCCTGTAACTTCTTTGGTTAGTCTCTTCATTTAACTGATGGATGGAGCATGATGTGGGTTTGTTCAAATTATTTGGTTTCTTTGAATGGATTTGGTTGTCTATAACTTGCTTATAAATTTAACTTTTTTCAGATAGCAGGGGAAGATTGGTTGCTGGGTCATTTCAGGGTTTCACAGGGCATGTTGATGGAAAGCCAAGTGAAGCTCGTTTCAATCATCCAAAAGGTGTAACTATGGATGATAAAGGGAATGTGTATGTAGCTGATACCTTGAATCTGGCTATCAGAAAAATTGGAGATGCAGGTATATGCACTTATTAAGAAAAGCTTGGTTCTAATATTGTCTTTTAATGGAAAATAGAATATAAAGTGGAACCTGATTTTCTTCATATGTTTTCTTTCACTAAACTGCAATGTAGGAGTTACATTATAGATGTCAAATTACTTGAAATTTTGAAACAATTCAATAATTGTCATATCAGAACTATTGAAGCTTTCTTAAGGTTGATGCCCATGATATAGAATGTGGCTCGAAAATGGAACACACCACATAAACGTAAGATCTGAATATGGAATCATTTGCAGGTGTCACGACTATTGCGGGAGGGAAATCAAATGTTGCAGGGTATAGAGATGGACCTAGTGAAGATGCAAAGTTCTCAAATGATTTTGATGTTGTATATGTTCGTCCAACCTGCTCCTTATTGGTTGTTGATAGAGGAAATGCTGCTCTTCGGCAAATCTTCCTCAACCAAGATGATTGTGATTACCAGGATAGTTCAGTTTCTTCCACAGGTTGTGCCCCATATTATGATTTTTATATGTTTATAAAATAGAGCTTCTGTTTAATCATAGTAACCCTGGTTTAAAAAGATCAGTTTAATGTTTCACAGTAAGAAGGTAGTAACCTTATACACCTCATATGTAATTTTTGTTAATTATACTATTTGAGAATTTGCTGATTAAAAAATATTATTTGAGAATTTAGCTTCTTTGTTGTGTTAAAGATTACTGCACTATGTTATCAAGAAGCTCATGCAGGGTACTCTTTGATAGTGGTTATTTAGCCAAACTTTAATTTTTTTCTTTTCTTTTTTTGACCAACCAGCCAAACTTCAAAATTCAAAATTCAAATTATCAAAATAAGGAGCAAAACCTGTCTCTAGGTTGTAATATGGTTTCTCATGAATATCTGTGGCCATGTTAACAATTCCATCTTGTGCTTTCAGAGTACAGATAATAATCAAGGTGAAATATCCTTGACTTCCTGTTGCTAGAATATTGTAGTGATTAATAATTAGATCTGTCTTCTTCTTTGTCCCCATCCAAATTGAAAAAAAAAAGGGGGGGAAAAGACAGAAAAACTAGTAAACTTTTATGAATGAATTTATGATTTCTTCTGATGAGGGAATTTATCATATCATAACAACTATTAATTAATATTTATGAGGCAGCATGATCTTGTTGTATGCTGAATGCAATTTCCTGGGACAAGTGCTCAGAGTATATTTTTCTATAAAACTCAACTAGATAATCACTGCGAAAGATCACAACTTAGGTTTTTTTTTAGCTTTCCAGGGTGCATTATGACTTACTGAAGCATACTTTTTCCTTTCTGCAGATGTGCTGATGGTTGTTGGTGCCGTCTTGGTTGGATATGCCACTTGCATGCTTCAGCTGGGATTTGGACCTTTCTTCTCAAAAATGGTACAAGTCTTTCTTTGCAGTTTCAGTTGGAGCATAGAATTCTTTGATGCCAATAACCATAACAACTTTGATAATTCTGTGAAGTGAAATTGTTATTTGCTGTGTTTTTTGGATCCCATGAAGATTTTGTGAACTTAAAAGTGCCCTCTCTTTGTAAGTTTTTTACTGTAAAGACTTTAGCACCTTTTGTTCCCCCTACATCCTCCCGAACTCGCCAAACATGTTAAACAAATGAGCTCTGATCTATAGTGATTGTTTTCTGCAATGTCTGTTGTCAGGAAAGTACAAATATGGAGCATAAAAGGTCTGGATGTTGAAAACTAATAAGACCTCTGCATTCAGGCTGCAGTATCATATGCCATGTCAAATACACTGACAATCTACAAACTATTTTCTTCTAGTTTTCAGGAATAGCATGATGTCAAATACACTGACAATCTACAAATTGTTTTCTTAACTTGAGGGAAATGTGCTACAAATTTACTATCCATACATGTTTTCCCATTGAGCTCTGCCATTTAGGATATGGCTTGCCAATTTGTCTATTGTTTTCTGGAAGAGTTAAATAGACAAATCATCTGCTTCGACACCATTTTTATGGTTGTAATGTTGAAATTTATGTTTCTATGATTTTGGTAGGTCAAAACAACTTACCGTATATGCCATAAGAAATATGTCTGTGTCTGTTACTTTGTAAACTTTCGTTCATAAAGTTTTGCACCATCGAATACATCTGAGTAATAATGCATGTATCTATATTGCAGGAACCTTCACAGGGTGAATTTGAAGAAGAACCAACCAAGGAAAAGCCAACTCCCATTATCGAAAGCACAAAAGAGGAACCTGGATGGCCATCATTTGGCCAACTCATTGTTGATCTATCTAAGCTCGCACTTGAAGCAATGGGTAGTGCATTCCTTTACTTTGTGCCCTCACGTTTCAGGTCTATTGGCTCCAAGAAATGTCTCACACCACTGAAGGATTCCCTTAGGATGCCTGAGGATGAAGCTAAACCTCCAGTAGTTCAGAGGCAAACCACTGCTGCCAGTCTCTCTGAAACCCGACACAGCCATACACGCGGTGCAAGTGATAAGCATTCAGAAATGAAGCCTCCCAAGATCAAATCAAGCAGTTTTAATGATATTTCTTTGTTGAGCAAGCACCGGTCCTCAAGGCAAAAAGAACGTGCAGAGTTTTATGGATCAGGTGAGGTTCCTACCTACAGCAGGTCTAAGACCCAGAAAGAAAGAACAAGACATCGCCAGCGAGATAAAAGTGGAGAAGTTACCTATGGAGCAGGTGGGACAGAGCCAAAACCTGTCGAGACTAAGCCAGTGGTTTATGATAATCCTAAGTTTGACCATTATATGATGAGGAGCAAGTATGCCCCTAATGATTCCTATCGTTATTGAATCCCTGCTACCCCTAGCAACTGCTATCAAGTTTCACTTTTCTTTCTCTTTTACCCTACTCAACCTTGCACCTTAAGTTAGCCTACATTAGTGAAAATTTGCATGTTAGAAACCTAAACAGCTGAGATTAGCACACAACTTTTCTCTGCTCAACCCATACAAGGGCCTGCATTGCTAGGATATTCCCACCCTGACTTGTTGGACGCATGTGATGTTAAGGTCTAACAATTTATTATTCAGAAATAGAATTGTTGTAGTGCTGTTGCCTATGGTAACTCATTTTTCTTGGGGATGGGGGTATTAGGTGTACTTCTACGTTATTTTTGTCTTCTTAATGTCGTCTTTGCCGCCTTTTAGGGGAAGAAAACACTAGCAAGGTGCCAAAGTTGTAGAAGCAGTTAGCTTTGATAATGGATTTGCTAATAATTTTGGGGCAAACTGAAGATTTTATTTTTCTTCCTTTGGAGAAAGAACTGTATGGCGTGCGGAGGGAAATTGGAATTCGAATGCCTAAAATTTAAAAACAATAACAAAATTGAGTATATAAAAATAAAATAACTTATTGCTGATAAAACACAAAAAAAAAAGGCACTCTCTTAAGTACCATTGGTTACTTATCTATTTTAATATATATGTCGTTAGCATATAATTTTGCATAATACTTTTATATATTTTATATGAATGATAAGTAAATTTTTTTTAATGAAATAAAATTACTTAACAATAATCAAATGTAAAAAAAATTTCAACTATTATTCATATATTATAAAAAAAGTACTTATTATTTAAGGTTACATGTTAAAAAAGTAAAACAAGTTATATTTTGAAATGAAGGAGTATTTAATTACTTCCTCTGTCTTTTTAAGTGCTCTAATTTGATGTGTAATACCCTTTTTACAATATAATATATAAATAGTAATTGATTATTTTTTTTTCTAAATGAAACTCCTTAACAAGATTTACTGTAGGAAACTTTTTTTAAAAATTATCATTCATATTTTACAAAGAATATTAATTTTTATTAATTAAATTTGTAAAAAATAAAATAAAATAATATTTTAATATTATGTCTTATTTTTTTTTTTATAAATATAGTTGATAAATGTTTCTCCCATTATAGAATAGAAAACTAAAATCAATGAAAAAAATAATTAAGAACCAGTCCTATTCAACGACCTAATTAGGTTAATGGTTATATTTTTCGTTAAAAATAAAAGATTCTGAATTCAAATCGTATAGTACTTAGATGAAATAAAATAAGAGATGAGAGATAATTACCTGGTAACCAAGATAATAAAAAAAAATTATCAGCCCTAAGAAACTGACATGGCCAACTCTCATTGGCAAGAAGCAACATTGCTACACTACAGATTTGGCAGAGAGAGAACTGGTCCATCACCCCCCCAACTTTTTTTTTTAATGGGAACGCACTCACAATATTTAAAAAACTCACAAGAAAGGAACAATAGACCACGACAGCCAACCACCACCGTCACGAATTTCTTACCATATACTATTCATCAATCACCACCACCACCACCAAAATCTTCTACCTTTTTTTCCCTCTTGTCATTTCTTCAACTCTTGTCGCCGGAATAAACCCGCTCGCCGGCTCCCGAATTTCCCTCTCGCTTCGTCTCTCCTCCTTCGCTCTCTCAACTTATACTTTGAGTTCGATTTCAATGGACCAACTCTAGCACTGGAGTCGCGTCAGAATCTTTTTTCTTTTTTCTTTTTTTTCTCTTGTATTAGAGTTTGGATTGCGTTTCGAAGCTTAAAAGGAAGCGGAATGGGTTGCGCCGCATCGTCGCCGACCAAGGGAGATGGTGAGGTCACTTTATTATCTCTCCTCTCTCTCTTAAGTCTGGAATTTTCTGTTAAATTTGACCTCTGTTTGGTTGCCGAGAAATAGCTGGAAAGTAGAGAAGGAAATGAAATTATGACATTTTCTTTAATTTGGTGGTTTGTTTAGTATCAACTTAAAGTGATAACGATGAAAGAAAAATGAAAGGAGATTAGAAAAAGTTAAGCTCTGATTAAGAAGTCAAATGGTAGATTAGCTAGAAATTTTCAGTATTTTATAGCAACCGAACAGTGCATTAGCATTGCATCATGGTGGTTATCTGCACTTGCATTTTCTTTTGGGAAAAATAGAGGGAAATCAAAGAAGTTACCAATATGATTAGCATCATCATTGGTTGTTTTTACATCTAGGGGCTGGCCAGGTCCCAAAAAAGTTGTGGAATTTCAGTTCTGTGTCAAGATTGATTCATGTGTTGGTGTTAATGGAAAAAGAAATGATCATTTAATGGATGTTAGGCTGCAAAATTTATAGCATATGTTAAAGTTCTGGTTGTTTGGCATTTTGGCCAAAATCTGAAATCTTGCTTTTGTGTTGATATGGCTGTAGGCATGCTCTTTTTCTACTACCATTGGCTGTAATTAGGTAGAAATTCTGAAATTTTCACCCCTTTTAAAATATGAACTGATAGCATGCTGTTAAACCATTGATTTAGTGTAAAGCCAACATCTTTAAGATACTGGCCCTTTTTTGTTTTTGCCTTTGTTGTGTCTGTCATCAAGATTCGGTTGTTTGTAAGAGATAAGTGTTTAGTGATACGGCTTAAGTAATTTAAACTTAGTCGTGGATATTCTAGGTGATTTTCTACAGTATTTTGGTGGGTGGTTCTCCCTGTTTGATTGAACCATCAAATCAGGTTTATTATATTTTGCCATATCAGAATAAATTTCATACTGCTTTATTACTATCACGTGAAGTCATGCCTTGCACTTGCATTACTTGATGGAAAAATTTACAGTTCCAGACTCATCCGTTAGAATTGTGGACTAGATGAAGCTCCATAAGTATCCTACTTTACAATTAGTTACTGTTTCTATTATTATTTCTTGCTCACTATTTGCTACGAGATACACTTTGGGGTATAATTCACTAAATCCAGGAAAACCCAAATGAAAAAGATGATTTTGCCTATGTTGGATGTCTGTCTGTATCCAACACCCTTATCCAAGTTGGCGGTAACATGAGCGACATGAGTGATAAGAAACTTTTCTAGTATGATTGTGGAGTGGAATTGTGTCAAGAAACAATGCATATTGTAAATCTAATAGGATTTTTCATTAAGGACACCTTTTTATAATAAATTTGTATAGAAAAATGTAAAAGTAAACATTAATTTTAGAGTCAATGCCACGTGGATAAATATAATTAGACAGTTGATAAATTAAATATTATTTTTAATTTTTTCAAGACTCTTAACCTGTGCCCTTAGTTCACACAAGTTAGAAAAATCCAATTTAATATTATCAAACTCATGCTAAGATGGATTTATTGACTCTGACAGGTTCTGGGAAAAAGATTCGAAAGCCAAAGAACTGGAAACATCCACAGCCAATAACAAAGTCTCAACTCATGCAAATGCGTGAAGAGTTTTGGGATACTGCTCCTCACTATGGTGGCAGGAAAGGTAGTCTCCATGTTCATAGCAATTATATACTGTTTCTTGAAATTAATTGTTAGGCTAACTAGTGAGATTATAAACCTCAGAAGGGAAATGACAGTTTTTGTTTTTTTTTTTAATTTTTTTATTTGCTTGTTTTGTATAAATGAAGAGAAACAAACACTGTGCTAATGTGTAGAGGTGGAAGTATCTCATAGAAACAAATAACTTTCAAAACATGGACCTAGTTATATGGTGAACCTTGTTGAGGTGTATCATGTACCCGTTGGTGAAGTATTCTATAAAATTTTCCTATTTTCTTATTTTTGGATGCTAAAATTTCAGGGGTTTTTGAAAGTTCCATCAGTTAATGTTCTGGTCCTTCATTTAAAGTTTAAACCAATGCCGCGCTATCTCTAGAAATGAAAAAAGGAAAAAAAACGGAAAGGTAAAAGTTTAAATGAAGGACCAGAACATTAACTGATGGAACATCATTATCTTAGCTTGGATAAGTTAGTAAAACATCACAGCAAACAATGGAGAACAGTTTGAACAAAGTATCATTTTTTAAAGAGCCTTCTACATCTGATATTTTCTTGGTTCTAACAATCAATATACTCACATCTGGATCTGAAATATAAACATCAATTTTCTGGACATTAGAGATCTGGGATGCCCTACAAGCAGCTGCTGAAGCTGATCTAACTCTTGCACAAGCAATTGTAGACAGTGCAGGGGTCATAGTTCAAAGTTCTGATTTAACTATCTGCTATGATGAAAGAGGTAACTCTACACTACTGCATGAATTTGTGGTAGTTTATTTTTGTTGAAACATGCTTTACCGGATTGAATTCCTTCTGAGCTGCCTTACAATTCATCTTTGCAGGTGCAAAATACGAACTGCCAAAGTATGTTTTGAGTGAGCCAACCAACCTGATAAAAGATAGTTGAAGATAGAGAATATTGATTGCCATGTGTGTGAGATTAAGCATAAATCATATATATTATTACTCTTATTCTAATGTGAAATCTCTCGCAAATGATATCTTGCACTAACTGCTTACCTTTCAAAAGATGCTGTAAGTTCCTTCTGGTAAATATCAAGAATGCACCCTTTTGCATTTGTGAAAAAATAGTGTTATTGTGCTATGATGTGTAAATTTGTGTTGTCTGATACTGAATTTAGTCTAAGCTAATTACTGTAACATCAGCAGCTTTTTGTTTGATACTAGCAACCTTACCTCTTTGTGTCATATATATTTCATGTTGAGATGATTTTAGCAGATTATGTAGAGGGTCCAAATCAATTAGTTTTGCCAAAATTCCAATGTTGGAGTTATTCTTCCACAAACGAACCTCATCTCTATCTTTAAGATTTCGCATTTGAGATCGAATGAGGTGATTTTTCCTCGAGCCATGGCTTCATGGGAGCCCCAAAAAATATAACAAAAATTAAAAATTAAAAAAAACTCCCAACTTCCCGAGAGCAGTTTTCCATTAATCAAAGATGGCAGCATTACTAATTAAGTTTAAAAGAAAAAATATATATATTTTACATTAGAAGATTAATTGTTTGGCATAACAGAGGTTTAAACCTTGATTTTAACTCCAAATTAAGAATTTTTAATTAGTTGTTACAAACTCCATCAAGTTTTTATTGGTAATTTAAAAGAAACTCATAAACTGAGGGATTGAGCTGAGATAAAATAACTTTCCACAAAGATTCAACTTCATAGAGATTATTTACAAAAGCTTGTTCAAACTGTATCCTGGCAAAGGAAAGTGCAAATCCGGAGGCAAATATAGCTACTTTGGATTTCCCATTAAAATACAAAATTTGTAGATGAACAAAGATTAGATCTAGTGTCCAACCAAAAACAAAAAATTACAGGCTAGGAAGAATGCACTTGATTCTGCTCAAACTTTCTTGAAGAACGATAAGATATTGCCTTGCTTGGGATCCTTTGCTTTTCCTGCTTTCTTGTTTCCTGCTTTGCTCCCTGGATTAGGAGCAGTGCTTCCTACGGCAGAAGACTTCTTGGCTGCAGAAGGCCTGCATTAAAAGACCAAACAGTAGCCTAGCTTATTTACAGTCTAAAACAGGCATAATGAATTAACTAATATAGCAGAGGCCATGTTTATGGTATATACAAGCCTCCAATCACTTGAATTAGCGAAGGCAAAAATGATTGTAAGAAGCACTCCAAAGTTGCAAAGCTAGAATGAATGCAGGTTTTTGAAGAAAAGCACAATAACATTTTTCACGTAACCAAGTTCTTATTTACGATCCAAAATGGTGAAAGTGCACCTCAGCTAGAAACTAAAGGAGAACCATCACAACCAAAATATGTTCAGGGAGATAACGAAGAGAAAATAGAGTTAACCTGTTGATAGTATTGGTCACTGCATTACTGTCAGCTTTTGATGTTGTTTCACTTTCAACTTTCTTCACCTCTGCCGCTTCACCCTCCCAGACTACCTCAGTTACTTTAGAGGGAAAACCAAAAAGAACGTTACCAGTATAAATGAGAGTGAATCTTTTTAAACTGAAGGCTATTTTTCTTCTAATAATTCTTGTTTTGTAATCTAGTAGAATTTAAATTAAAAAGGTGAGGTTCTTTTTTTTTAACCTTCCATAAAATAGTCCCCAACTTTATATTTTCTTATTTAGCCAAAGAGCCTATACATAAGAAGAATATGTTTAACTGATAGACAAGAAAGGAATTAGAATAAATAGTAGAGTTGCTGCTCATAGCTCCCAAGTTCAAATACTACATTGATTTTATGCTGGATGGTTGTAGCTCGTAATTTAATTTGTCAAATTGGCTGATAAAAAAATTGTCTAGATTGATTGTATTATAATATGATTCATGTGTCAATAACACTCAATATTAATTCTTCTTCCATTAAAAATAAAAGGGTTTTAGGTTAAATATAGTGTACAAGTGAAATGAGTAAAATGAGGAATTACCCTCCTTTTGTGACAAGAGGAAATAATAATAATAATAATAATAATAATAATAAACAAAGGCTAAGTTATAAATTTAAGTCCTCAAACTTTCAAGGAAATGACTCTTAATTTTAATTTTTTAAGCTTTAAAAAAAATAAATAAAAAATAAAAGAAGGAAGAAGAAAAGAGTGACAAATAAACTACTAAACTACACGAACTGGCCACATGGGTCGGCTCAACTTTATGCAGAGAAAGTCGAAGAGGATCTCGGTAGCATCTTCCTTTCTCTTTTAAAGAAGCAGAAGGTAGAAGATCAGATATGCATAATGCTCTAACAAGCAATTGTTTTCAAGCCTAGTTGAAAAGGCATGGCCCCTAACTAAGGCTACTTGTCTACTACCCATTCCATCATTTATTCCTTCATCAATCCGCTCATCTATCCACCTCAGTCTCTGAAATGAATAATCTTAACGAAACAAGGAACAACCAAATTGCTTTCACACATAATACACACATTCACATAATTCATGAATACAGTATTCTCCCTTCACTCTTCCTCATCACTCATCCACAATCGGTTGAGAGACTCTTCAAGTGAACGAGGCTGCACTTTAACTATTTGACATCCCATATTATTGCATACAGCAACCAATCTACGTGGGACATACTTCATAAATGACAACATTATAAATGTCCAACAAGGTATACTTATTGTAAGATGTTCATAACATAAACATTTACATTTAGTAAAGAGGTCCTCGAATCTATGTGAAGATGTAGACCTCATCGTACCCTTTCCTGTAGATAAATACAAATACATTGATAAAGTTAAAGGATTTATGAGAAGATGCGTTTATGTTTATGGCCTGAAAGAATACAGCGAGCTTACCCAGCCTTCCCACAATAAGTGGGGCTGTAATTGTATATGAGGTTGTCAAGCACTTTTGTAGTGGGTGGCCTATTCAGTGACTTCCTAGCCTCACTGCAGCAAGGGAAACATAAGCATTGAAAACAGGAAAAATAGATGTGTGACATTGATACTGATTGTTGAAGAATAGTTTGGCTGCGAAATCATTTGTAATCATTTATCAGTCATAGATAAGCATATCCAGATGGCAACATAAGTGGCAACATGGTTACCCAGATCTTTTTCATCTAGATGTATGTTAAATGCAAGACAGCCTTTGTACATATTTGTAGTTTCAATTCTCCATCAGCATGTATTGAAATAAATCTACAGCAAAAACTAGAAATAAGCTTCTTGTTAACAAGACCTGACCTGATAAAAAAGTTTGCAACATGTTGTGTCACTTGAATTGCGTCCTCGGAGTGCGGAATCATTGATAAGCCCCATTCAAAAGCATTTTTCTGCAATTTATTGTGCAAAAAAGCATTTTTAAATGAGTGACCCATAGAGTGTATTGCCATTGCTTCAGGCAATTAAGCAAAAATCCTAAGCAGACACGGGGAAGAAAGCAACAACCAAAGGACATTAACTTGCAAATTCACACTCCTTAATCAAAGGTGAACTGCAAAATGAGTGACACCTGCCAGAAAAAGAAAACATATTTGGATAACAACTGAAAATTTACGATAAAAATCATAGCCAGGGAACAACAGCTTGCCTTCTCACAGAGTTGATTACCATTGAGTCATCAGAAATTTTCCTTGATTCTCTTACGATTATCAATAAACTCCTTACTTTCAAAGTAGCAAGTCACCTCCCAAAAGGAAGTGTTGCAATTAAATCAGCCCCTTCTCTCGTATTCTTCATTGCACCCTTAAGTTTAATTTAGCAACATCTATGGAACTATAACAACTTTTACTGTACATCATAAAAGCAGATCTTGCTTTCCATGGTATGTGTTGGAGCCAAAGCAACATCTTTTCTTCTTTTCAAGCTTTAAAATGAAAGGAATAAAGCACTTCATGGCAATTTTGACTAAGCTCACCATAAGAGAAGCTCCTTCATGGCCACAATTAAAATTTTGGTCATATGCAAATGATTCTTTTCCCTGATACGATATTGATTGATACTAATAATTCTTCAAGATTCATTAGTAGATTTTAGAACATACATAATATTTTCTCCTTCAAAACAAAGAACACTAATGTGTGAGGTATTGTAGCAAATAAACTGTAAAAAGGAATTTGCCATTTATTTAGAAACCTTTGAATTAATTCATCCTTGAAACTCCTTCTGGAACCACATACCCAGTACTTGAAAAATTATGATGCAATTTGCTTGCATAGAACAATAATGCAATTGCTCATAAAGAAAAGATCAATACTGCAGAGGAAGCAAGATGTAATTTTTATTTTTTATTTTTTGGCTGACACATATAGCAATTGATGAGATGCCAAAATTCTATGCACTAAAACACTGTTTGAGAACCAAGTCAAAGCAACATATGATCGGGAACACTAAAAAGAAAGTAATGCATGTTCTGAGGCAAAGATATGAAGATGATGGGAACCAGATCAAAACAAAGTACCTCTGGATGCCATTGGAAGGCAGTCACAGGATAGCTATGAGCTTGGACTGTAGAGACATAGACCTGGTAGTACAATTCCATATTAGGATCATTAGAATAATCAGTGAAATTTAGTAAAATGTGTTACACCATGTTAAACAAATTTGAAGCAGTAATGATTAATTCAGTACCTTATCATTTTCATCTGCACTTGTTGTCAAGATCTTGAAGAAACTAGATAGAGCTGGATTCTCTTGAAACCTTTCTGGTGAAATGCCATACTGTTTCATGGTAAAATTGCAATTATTTAGGTAGTATTATTTACATAGCAAAGAGAAAAATTGTATCCTAAGGACCAGTTGGCAATGTGATAAACAGTCAAAGTCTTGGTGAAACTAGATAGATCTGGATTCTCTTGAAACCTTTCTGGTGAAATGCCATACTGTTTCATGGCAAAATTGCATTTATTTAGGTAGTATTATTTAC